CACACACAATCACATCTCACTGCAGCCTCAGCTTCCTAGGCTCAAGTAAGCCCCACCTCATCCTCCTGGGTAGTTTGGTCTACAAGCCTGCACCACCATGCCTCGCTAATATTTTTTTTTCTTTCTTTCTTCAAGAGACAAAGTCTCACTCTGTTGCCTAAGCATGTCTTGAACTCTTGGACTCAAGCAATCTTCTAGCTTCAGTCTCTTAAAGTGTTGGGATTACAGGTGTGAGGCACCACACTTGGCCAGACAGGGCCATTTCTAATAGAGTACAGTACTCAAGCAAATATCTTCTTGTGTCCTCTCCCACCATGATATTTAAACACAGGTGAACCTTGTTAAAAGAAACATAAAGGACAAGCTTGATCAAAAGACAAGATGTAACTATGAGATGTAACAGTCAGTAAATTATAAAAGTGAGCAATTAAGACAATTTTTTTAGTCTTAGGAGCTTAAGTGGATGTGAGGAGAAGCATTTGCCATTGACTTGGTGATACTCAAAATATGGCATAGGAGTGCTTTAGATGTGTGTATTACAAGTACAGGTAGAGGCGCCACAGGCTTCTCCTCAGGGATTAGAGCCTAGCGTAAGGGTCAGTGTATACCCCAATGAGCCTTGCTTTCTACATTCCACTTGCACTGCGGGCCAAAGGAGCAAGCTTTATACTCACAAAGGACTGATTTTTAACTCATCTTTCATTTTCTTTTGAGCCACAAGAATGTACATAGACATAGGAAATCAATACAAATCATAACAACTCATGTAAGTCATGATAAAAATATTTGCAGGATTTTACTTCCTATATATTTTTTAATGATAATTCTTTATGCTCTTACTTCTGCTTACTCCAGCTCACTTTTATATTGACGGTGATTTTCCTCTCATTTTGTCTTTCTCCCTGTAGTTTACAATACTGTTTTTTAAATTTATTTATCAATCTATCAATATCTTTCCTATATCTATATCAATACAGATGTATTAAAAGTAACCTATATAATTTTAATGGAGCATAAGAATGAAAGAAATAGAAAATATAATTTGAAGGCCAATGATCCACATAATTATGATCCACATAATTGAAATTAAAATACTAAGTAGAAAATTTTAACCTCAAAATACTATTCAAATATTGGTATCTGATGAATGTAAGTCCCCTCATGTAACCTCCTACAATGACAAAGAACAAAAATTAAAACTTACCAGATCTCAGAGAATTTGGTCTCTTGAACATTCTATTGGCACTACTGTAAGGGATTTTCGCTTTTTGCAAGGCCAGTAGAATTATATTTAAAAATTTATTTATGAGTCCCTCTAAGTTATGCCATTGGAAATTGAATAAGCCTATCCATCTTTAGGTAGGCAGAGAGATCACTTGTTTCTGCAGCACAGACTGTAGGTAAGGTCTGTACCTACCAAAATAAGAGCATTTATTGTGCTACCTCCCATCTTTAAGAGCAAGTTTATGGGTGAAACAAAGGCATGATGAGACCTGGTAGAAGTCCATAAAAGCTACTGTGTGTGTGTGTGTGCATGCACGTGCATGTGCACATACATATACACTTCATCTTTTAAAAATGTCAGTCACTCGATTGGGCCAACAGAAAATTCCATTTTATGCCAGGAAAACAATTTTAAAGATTCCTTGGTAGAAACTGAAAAATTAAACCAGCAAATGTAGACATAAACCATATTTTTTCTCTCAATTACTAAGATAAGATTCAGCCTGGCAGCCAACTTGGCAGACTTTAAGTTGTTCAAAGTCATACTTAATTCTTCCCTGTAGGCAAACTGCAGATCTTGATAGGTTTCTTTCTGTTCTGATGATAAACAATAAAATGAGACTTAATCTACAGAATAAACAAACGGAAAAAATCACCTGGTGACTCAGAGGAAGTTTACCTCTGAGAACTGTCTTCCACAGAAATCAACTTATAGGATATTTACAAAGATCTATTACTAAAGAAAAACAAACCTTACCAGAAAGGTAAAATTCATATTTGTGATCTGAAATATGTAATTACAGAATACAACAGATGCAAACTTGTAGAATTTTGAAGGGAGATTTTGTTCAGCCATGAATTAATATTCAGAAGAAATGCTATTTACATAAAAAGGCACAGGAATCATATTGGGAACTCAACAATATATATAGTCATCCCTCAGTATCCATAGGTGTTGATTCCAGGCTCCCCTGTAAATACCAAAATCTGTGGATACTCAAGTGCTTTTTATAAAATAGTGCAATATTTCCTGCATATAACCTATACAAATCCTCTCATATACTTCAAATCATTTCTAGATTATTTATAGTACCTAACACAAGGCAAATACTTTGTAAATGGTTTCCATACTATATTGGTTAGGAGATAAAAAAAAAGTGTCAGTATTCAGTACAGAGGTCCCACTGTATTCCATGTAGTTTTCTTGAAGAAGTTATTTCAAGATATATTTTCCACATCAGCAGAAATGAATAAATAAACAATGGAGTTCTGATAGTTTAAGCACTAAGCAACACAGGTAGTGAAATACTGATCTATGCCTAAAATATTGTAAAATTGATTAATTAACTAAATATAAATGTCAAAAATATTTTTATTAAAAAAACTTATTTTTGGTAATTCAAAATCATATTCTTGGTAAAATATGCTAGTTTTATAATAAGTGAAATTGAGAAAGATGAAAAAAGTAGGAGAAAGGAAACCAAAGTTCTCATGTCAAGTAGCTAGAATTCAAAATAATAATAAAATAATTTAAAACTGAGGGTGTCACTACAAATACCTAAAGAAGACGTAACACCTATCAGACATAAACTATATGGTAAAATACATAAAAAGGCATAAACTGTAACAGAAGCAGACAATTACCTATAACAATGCATCATAAATAATCACAAACATCAATTATAAAAAGAAAATAGATGGTTTGAAAGGCAGTCATTAAAAATTATGTTTACAAAGATATTTGGGTACAATAGATGCTTATGCTCATATTAAGTAAAAATGACAGAATTTGGGGTCTAAATTCCAAATGTTGTTCTTACTATGTAAACTTGGAAAGTAATTAGTCTAAAAGTTTAAATTTGAATTCTAAAGTGAGATAGTGATATAATTTAGCTGTGCCCCCACCCAAATCTCCTCTTGAATTGTAACTCCCACAATTCCATGTGTCTTGGGAGAAAACCTATGGGAGGTGATTGAATTATGGGGGCAGTTCTTTCTCATGCTGTTCTCATGATGTTGAATAAGACTCATGAGATCTGATGGTTTTAAAAGGGGTAGGCTCCCTGTACAAGCTCTCTTCTGTTGCCTGCCACCATCCATGTAAGATGTGACTTGCTCCTCCTTGCCTTTCATCACGATTGTGAAGCCTCTCCAGCCATGTGGAACTGTGAGTCCATTAAATCTCTTTCTTTTGTAAATTGCCCAGTCTTGTGTACATCTGTATCAGCAGCGTAAAAATGGACTAATGCAGATAGCAATACTATCATCCTTACATCGTTTTTGTAAAGACTAATAAGAATCACAAACTGTGCTACAGAGTGTCACATCCATACCACTGTAAGCATTCACTAAATCTTCCCTACGATTATTATCACTAGCAGTAAAAATAACTTGAAACTCCATTAAGATTTCTTAGTGGTTTATTTCTAAATAGTGGCATTAAAAGTGGATTTTTATTTTTTAAGATATTTTCTTAAATGTCTTAAATCTTAAATATGCTTTAAAAATATATCTTTTCTTCATCAGAAGAGAGAAGATGTCATGGATATACTGAAGTTCCTTTTATTACATTTATCCCTCCTCTCTCACAAGAGACAATAATTATAAATGATAAAATAAATACATGAAATGTTTATTTAGCAATTTGTGATGATTAATTTTATATGCCAACTTGACTGGGACATGGGGCGCCCAGTTGTTTGGTCACACATTATCCTAGGTCTGTCTGTTAGGGTTCTTTGGATGATATTAACATTTGAATTAGTAAAGTGAGTGAAGTAGACTGTCCTCAATAGTGTGGGTGGGCTTGCTTCAATCAGCTGGCCAGCGTTTAACAAAAAGGCTGACCCTCTCACTGGCAAAATAAACTTCACCTGCCTGACTATCTGAACTGGGACATAGATTTCTTCCTGTCTTTGGACATAAACTAAAACATCAGCACTTCCTGGGTCTCAAGCCTGCTGACATTTGGGCTAGATACACACCATGGATTCTCATGGATTTATAGCTTTCCATGTGCAGATCTTAATACTCATCAGTTTTTATAATTACACAAGCAATTCCTTATAATAAATCTTCTCCTCTCTACATATTTTATACATCCTATTTGTCCTGTTTTTCTGAAGAACTCTATCACACAATTCAAGATTAAGTCATTCTAAAAATTTTATATAGTACTCAATACAAACATAGCCTTGTTGCTGTTAGTTTGCTTCAGGGACACCACATGGTGTAGAAAGAACAAATTTCAAAAGTCGTATAAGAATAATAAGATGCAATACATTAAGAAATGTCAGCAAAAGTTAATAAAATTGCCTTAATCTAGATCAGTCAATCCAGTTAATTCAGTATTTGCATAGTCTGTAAATTCATTTTTGCCTCCGTCCTTGTTCTTTACCAGCAAATATAGATAACTGAGTCAGTAAGCCATCTAAAGTTATTGGAGGCCTACGTTGTGCATCGACATACCATCTATCCAATTGACAACAATGCACTTTTAGTTGCGACTTCTTATAATGTAGTTCTCGTATGCTTCTGTGGCATATACTTACTCAATTTTTCTAACTAAACTATGCATATCAGTGAAATCCACAAAACACCATCATTGTCAATATTCATCTATATATTAGAAAGTAATCAGTTAATAATTTATAGACCAAAAAATTAAGTAATTATCTAAATTTCTCTAAGTCCCATTTTAATTCCTCTGGTTTCTTCTGCTTCTAGTCTTCAGAAGGAGCCCAATAAACAATGAGTGTAACATGAAAAGAACTTACATGTGCAGGTTGTCCCATTTTCATCCAAAAGTTGATTATCAGCACAAGCACACACCCGGCCTCCTGGGATAGCCAAGCAAAGTGTACTACAGCCCCCATTATTTACTCGGCACATATTGTCACCTGCAAGAGGAAGAAAGCGATTGTGTCAGAGAACTCTGATTCACGTTCTTTCTAGGAGATGAACATAGATGTACACATATATAGACTATGTTTATTATATATTTCATTATATAGTCAGGATTTCTGCCAAATCATAACAAAATTCAAAATTGTTTGAAAATATGTGATGCATTGGTAGATAAGGAGAATTTTCTCCTTAATTGGAGGAGATAGAGATCTGAGTGAAGGTAGGTACCAGGTGAGGAAAGAGAAAGATAGCAGAATGGTATCTGTCTCGGATAGTTTTCCAGATTAGGCCTATTGCATTCAAGTCTGAATTCTTTGGAAAGTAGACTGGTGGCTCTCAGAATGTGGCTTTGGATCCCCAGTGAACAGAAAGCAAATGAGTGCTGGGAACAAAGGTGGGAGGTCTTTTCTCTTGTGCAGTGTATGATGGAAAGTCAGCATATTGAGAACTCCAGGAATCACAGGACATCTGTGAAGACTCAAAACTGAGCAGCTTTGCTGGTATAAAACAAATGTGCAGTTCATAAGGGTGAAAGTGTTCTCCTGGTGGATCTAAAGAGCAGAGTTGCTAATGAGGTATACAACAGACATCAATTAAGCAGGCATGAGAGGAAATTCATTAAGGTGTTATTCATGAACGTATGTGAGGCACCCTTGCAGACTCTCAGATAAAATTGAGTAATTTTTTTTAAATAGACAAGTAACAATTGCTCATAGTCATAGTGATGTTTCAGTAAATGTAATGTATAGTGATCAGATCAGGGTAATTGCCATGTCCATAATCTCAAACATTTATTATTTCTTTGTGTTGGGAACATTCAACATCTGCCTTCCAGATATTTGAAACTATATAATATATCATCATTAACTATCATTACCCCACATTGGTTTAGAACATTGGAACCTATTCCTCCTATCTAGCTGTAATCCTGTAAAGATGTTGGTAAGAATAAATACAATTTAGGTTGCCATTTAGCCTTACAAGTTGGAAAGGCAAGGAAGAAAGTATATTTACACTTGTGTGTCACTTAACAATGGGCATACATATTAAGAAATGTGTAATCACACCATTGTGCAAACATCATAGGGCATCCTTACATAAACCGAGATAGTAGAGCCCTCTCGGCACCTACACTATATGATTTATAGCCTATTGCTTCTAGGCTACAAATCTGTACACAGCATGTTACTGTACTGAATACTGTAAACAATTGTAACACAATAATATATCATTTCTATATCTAAACATAGAAAAGGTACAGTACAAACACATTATTATTACCTCATAGGACCACCACCATATACCAGTCCATCACTGATAGAACCAGCTCTACACCATGTATGACTGCACTTACCTAAAAATGTATCAAACTTTAAAAATAACTCAACACTAGCATTCCAATAGGTAATGTAATCTCAGGATCATTTTACACTATGTTGCAGTTTCAAAGTATCAAAAAATAACATTTTGATTATATCAGAAGATTTTACTCAAACATTAAAAATAAAGAGCTTTTAATTACTTAGAGACATACAATAAGAGAATAAAACAATTAAAGTGCAAATACTGAAAGTGTGATTAAAGTGACAGACTAGGTTGAGACTGTAAGCCTCAAAGGTTGGATGTGTTGTGTAGAGGATAATAAGAAGTGAGAAAACTCTAAAATGCCCCTGCATGCAATAAATATTCAACACATTACCACAGATTATCATTGTGTACCCACAGATCAGAAGAAATTACCTAAAGTACATTATCATTTCACTAACCTGAAAAATAAATTTAATTCAGTGTTTATAACAAATTTAAAAATACATATGAAAGCCAAGACAGCTAATAATTCATGCTACAGTATGAATTTCTGAACTCAGAAAGTAATTAAACCTAATACATAGTTTTTCCAGTAGGAAATGTATAAATGCTTTAAGCAGCTTCCAGATAAGGTAATGTTTATTACATGACCATGGAATAAAAATGCAATGCTTCATAGGATGCACAATTATTCTATGTTGTACACATTCTGTACAGGATTAAATTGTATATTTAATATATATATATATATTTCAAATATGGAACGCCTCACGAATTTACGTGTCATCCTTGTGCAGGGGCCATGCTAATCTTCTCTGTATCGTTCCAATTTTAGTATATGTGCTAAGCATTCAGATTCTGGAAAAATTAGAACTAATTCAATATATTTTGAGAAATATATAAAGAATTTAAGCAGTGAGAAATAAGGAATTCCTGACATTTTGAAATGTTGAAATTATATGTTAAAGAACATATTCTGTAATTCATTGGTGTGCCTCATACCATTCTAAATAAATATAAAATTTAAGTATTTAAAAATAAATTAGCATTAGTCAAACTTTGAAATATATTTCTTTTCTGTGAATACTACATATTAAGAGAGAGGAATTGTTTGTTCTGTCATGATAGAAATCCAAAATTTAAATTAATTTGAATAATTTCATCTCTCTCCTCAGAATGACTTAGGTCTTTTTTAATAGTGACCCAATATATTTTTGAATTTCATTACTTTAATATGTTCCAGATAGAGCTTATATGATATTATTTTTTAAAGTTCTGACAGCTAGAAAAATATTTTATGTAGAAACATCCTCTTTAAAACATGTTTAAGTTACTACTTTTCAAACAGTGCTAAAAAATGTTTTATACCTAAATATCAATAAAATAATTATTAACATATTAATAGCTGCTATGAATGAAAATTTATAATCAATTTCAGAGCTAGTTACTTTACATATACATCATATTTTATTCAATTTTTAAATAAAATGACAAGAAAGTTTTTATCTCATTTAGAGGTAGGAATGCTGAATATTTGATAGTCTAAATGATACTACCTATATGTAGAAGTAGGAAATAATTCTTATAAAATTATCATTTCTAGATAATCATTATGATTATCATAATTATTTATAAATAATTAGAAATAAGATTTTCTTGCTCTAAAATTGTGCTCTCAAAGGCTAACTTATTTATATATGATAAAACAAAATTATATCAAAAAAGATATACTAAATATAACATACAAAAACCAACAAAAGTCTGCTACTATTAGGAAGCAGACAGTTTTTAAAAATTAAATATGCAAGAAAAGCAAATGAAGAATAGCTTTCAATATCTAGTTGAAGATGGCCATCTGGCTTGATCAAAAAGTTTGTCTTTTTTTCTCCAATCTTGTGCCTTCCAGAAGCAAAATTATTTTCTACCTTACAAATAGTGCCTGGTACAGAGTGTGTTTCATAAATATTAGTTAAACAAATAAGTGTGAATGCAACTTTTAGTTAACAGTTTGAATGAGAAGAACAATAATTTGGAGTGCATCTATCTACGTGGATAGATATCACTTCCAAAGAACAGTAGTAAAGACACAAATAATATGTAAAAACATTTCACCAGCCTATATTAACATCTCAATGTTTTTAGACCTTAGAAGTTTAACTTTTTTAATAAAATATCTTTTATTGAGCAAATGAGAGAATATAGAAATCAACACAAAGGAATTACATTGTGTCAGTCTTCCCTTAATCTGAATTTTCTTAATAATGGTGGAACAAAGAAACCTCCATTTCTATATGTGCCCAGGACTCTTGACTACTCAGTGTCTTACATGCAAAGTGAGAATCTGTTGCAGTTAATATAAAAACTGTAAAAATATGGGAATTCTCTTTTTTTTCTAATTAATGTAGAGACATTTGAGCTTCTAGTTTAGAAGGGACAGTAGTTAACCCATTTATTCCAAAAGTTAGATAAAGGCTGGTAGAGTAAGATCCTGAGGCCAGAGAATTATGCATTTAATCTAGTAAAATTCCAGAAGAAATGACTTTGCATGATGTTAGTCAATCTGAGGAAAGGATAAAATGTTTCATACTTTTTTCTCTCTTTCAGAATCAGATGCACATTGAAGATTATATTTATATCTGACTTGCTATGAAGTCACTTATATAAAGGTATGTATATATCTATATTAAGAGACTCCTTAGTTTTGGGGTGTTTTTGGTAATTATCTCAAAAATGGGAAATTTTTAAAGAAAGAAAAATTTTGTGATGATGGCCCTATCACCAAACCAAAAGCTTATTAAACCTATAAAACAATGTGATTAATAAATATGTCATACAGTGAATGAAAACTGGTATGTTTGTTATACTAGCTCTGTGTAACCTAAAATCTCTAAATCCCGGCTTCTAAAAAAGTAGTCAAGGGGAACTTTATAGTAAAAATATATATTTAAATACAAAATTCATCAGTGACAAAATTACAATGACCAAAGAATATTCACTTTCTTTTTCTGCTATCTAAAAGTATAGTAGTTATAAAATTTTAAGAAATTAAATTGGCTACACAAATTAATCACAGAAAAGTATTTTGTGGTCAGACCTGAATTTGAATCTCAGTATTATCCCTGGCTCACTGTTTCTTGAGGGCCAGTGACCACACCTCATATGTAAAATATAAATCGATAGTACCTATTTTAAATATATGCTGTTAGAATTAAATAGCAATGCTTAGACCACTTCCTGGTAGTTTTGACAGTTACAGCTATTTCTTAGTTAATAAATGTTGTCTATTCATCATAAAACAATATGATGAATTTAATTAATGCTTATTAAAATATTACTTAGTTTTGATTATCTCATTCCCCACAATGTGCAAAAAAATCAAAGTGTGATTTTTGAACCTAGAAAATAAAAAGGAAAGTCTATTATTTTACACAATTGCTGATCTTTACATGAGGAACACCAGATGAAAGCTTTAAAACTTTGTTCTAGATATCCAATGTCAATGAAAAAGGAAAGTTTATAAATTTTAACAGTAGAAATAACAGTAGGATATGAGAGAAACTTCTTGATGCTAATTCCCAAAGAGTTACCTAATAATTCTTTCCTAGAGATAGCTTTCTGTTTAATATGTTATTTATTTATATCTACCTTCCTAAAATTAGCTGGTATATTCCAAGTAATTTGACAAGTCTCTTTCCTTTTCTTTTTTTCTTTTTGTTGAGACAGAATTTTGCTCTGTCATCCAGGTTGGAGTGCAGTGGGATGTTATGGGCTCACTGAAACCTCTGCCACCTGGATTCAAGCAATTCTTCTGCCTCAGCTTCCCAAGTAACTAGGATTACAGGCACCCACCAGCACAACTGGATAATTTTTGTACTTTTAGTAGAGACAGGGTTCCACCATGCTGGCCAGGCTGGTCTTGAACTTCTAACCTCAGGTAATCCACCCCCCTCAGCCTGCCAAAGTGCTGGTATTACAGGTGTGAGCCACCATGCCCGGCCATTGACAATTATCTTCTAATATGAAGAGTGAGGGGGAATCTTATTAGTTGACTAATTTTCTGACACTGAACCTAAAATGAATAGATATTACATTATTATCATTCTTGAATATTTTTCATGGTGTTCTTGTCAGGTGGCGTGTGTGTGTGTGTGTGTGTGTATTAATACTATCTATCCCCATGTATTAAAACCATATATAAATAAAATAATCTATATATACTATATATATAAATAAAGTCATATAGTTTGTATTATCTCAGAGAGAGAGAGAGAGACTATAAGGCTACTTAAGGCCAGCTTTTTTTATTCCAGTAAGAAAAGGAGATATGTATTACGTAGAGATTTGGTTTTCTATTCAATTGCTAAATTTTATCCATAGGAAAAAATAAAAACAGACTAACAGGACAATATGAAACCAACATTTCTGGGGCACTGATCATCTATTTTCAAATGTTAATATCTAATGTTCAAAAGATGCAAAGAGTAACACCATTGGGAGAAAATTGTAATACCCATATCTAAATATCTGAATGCATTTTGCTTTATAATTCAGCTACTTTTATCAAGGTAGTAAAAAATACTAAAACTTTAGAACTCAGGTAGATGATCTAATATCAATGTCCCTTGACTGAGAAAAAAAATGGTGTTAACTGGGAATCCTTTCCATATTCTATTGCTTGTTCAAACATGTAGTTAAGTACTAGGTAATTCTTAGGTATATGAAGACGTGGTAGAAAAATCAATTGATTAATTCACCTAAGTTAATAAAAAATTATCAATTAATTATTCTCAATACATTTACTCAGTAAGACAAAACATTATGGTTTCTACAATAAGAGTTGAAAAATAATTTAGTAGTCAGAGCACAGTTATTTTAATGTCCCTTTAATTAAAATGGAAAAGGGTACTTTTAAAAGACCATTGTCTGTCTAAGGAATAACATTGCACTATTATACATCAATGACACCTTTCAGAACACCAAAAATATTCTCTATCACAGTTATGTACTTCATTATTGTGATATATTATTCCATTGCATATTTATTTAAAATGCCCATTTATAGGGTAACATTAAAAACAAACGCCTCCTGTTTAGAGAAATTGTCGGGGCAAATCGCCTGTTATCATTTGTCAGGTACAATGCTGTGTAAGATTTGCTTTTATATAACAATTAGCTATTTAACCATCCTGGAAATTTTATGAAGAAAATATTTCTTATTTTTGTTAAATCTTTCGTCATGAGTCCAAAGTTTCAAAAGAAGATGTTAGGACCCGGATTTAAGCCCAGGGCATTTATCACTACATGTGTTGCATTTATTTCAACAACACACTAAAGCAACTGGAAGCTTAAAGAATCTGAAGATGATAAAATTGTTATGGACTTTGGCAAGGGAAACTTAGAAATGACATTCAAGAAAAACAATTCTAAAGAGAAGGGAAATGGAAAATGTGATCATGAAAAGGTTAGATTGTGAATTTAGAGAGAACTATAACCTTGAAAAATAGATCCTTCAAAATATAAAAAGGATTGTTCCAATTCATAGTCTGGCCTCCTATTAGTGTAGGCAAACTACAAGAGTGTGTTAGGGGTGCAGGATTTATATGAATATAACAAGATATTACCTTTTAATCTATCCAGGCAATTATCTCTATTCCTTATTTCTTGTCCATAGCTTTGGCTTGTGCCATCCAAATAATTTTAGTTTTATTCTTTTAAAAGATAATTTCATCTTTTATCAGCTATTGATATTTCTTATTTTATACATTTCCATTATTTTTTACAATTTCATTTGTATCCCAATGAAGCAATTTTATTATAATGGGGAAAAAATATCTGAAGCTTTTGAATGAGATAGTTCACTTTAGAATCGCTGTTTCAACCAAAATATCTTCAAAAACCCTGTTGCTAGATAATTTCCTATTGATAGCATATGTGTTAGGAAATTCAGAATATAATTTATTCATCTTAAAGGTATTGAACTTCCTGCTCATTAAATTTTTACAAGGATATCTCTATTTAAAAAAGGAACAATGACTATTTAGACTCGTAAAAAACCTACCACATAACTCACTAAACTGTTTTCTTTGTTCAAAACCTAAATTATTTTTTTTTAAATTTCAAAGCCACTACAAATCAAAATACCTAAATTCTCAGTAATGCTATGTGTAGATGTCCTAATAAGTATTAACAACTCATATAAACAAAACATAATGTAATATCTGATTTTAAGAAGACATGGATATTGTTATACATGCTTTTACTTCTGTGCCATCTAAACAAATTACATGTTCTTTAAATATACATTGAAATTAATCAGATAAATGTACAACGATACTTTTAAAATAATATTTTTCTTATATATTGCATCTTTAATTTTTCAATAGTTTTCTCTCAAACTAAGGAGGTTCTCACATTTCACAACACTTACTCTTTAAAAACATTAAGAGAATTGTTTTACTTTAAATAACTAATAGTCTTCTTAAATGAAAATCACATGAAAAAACAGAAATACTTGGAGAAAACCCTAAACCTTACTCACATAGAATTTTCAGTGTTAATCACTTAGGCTATTTAGAATAATAAAAAGTAAATCTCTATGATAATGAAGCCTATGATTTGATTGACTTTGGAGCAAATTGGACGTCTTTTATCATAAAACTGCAGCAAAACTGTCAATATAAAACTTTATAACTACTGCGAAGTATTATTATATGTGAATCTCAGAAGCACTTTTATTTTATTTTTTTAAATACCTTGTTGCCTTCGTGGATCATAAATCTGAAGCCCAAATAGGGGTGGTCTTTCATGCCTCAGCAATATCACCTCACTCGTTATCAAATCTAGTTGAAAAATGGAACCATTCATATAATCAGTCCAGAACACATAATTTCCATGATGCGACAGTCCAAAAGGGTGGTTCAACTCTCTCCCACTGTAAACAATCTGCAAAATATAAACACATTGTGAAAAATCAGAACTGACGTTTAGAAACATAAGTAGGTATTTAGAGAAAGTGATATTCAAAAAAGTATAACAGATAATAATCTAATATCTTAACTCTTTTTCTCTGATAGATTAAAAAAATGGATTTCACAATGTGAGCATATTTTTATTTGTTTGAGGGCATCCTGTTTGAAGGATATCACTACATTTTATCCATTTAAATACTTTCAACTATGGCACTTCAAATATGGTTAAGAATGCAAATACTAAAATGACTTTTCCTAACTCTTATTCCTGTTTATTTTGCTTATGATATTTCAGTATCACATCCTGGGATAGAAATCGATCTCAATAATCATGTGTTTTACATTGTTGCTCATCCAGTAGCCAACAGATGGAACATGTTCAAATGACAATGGGAGCAAAAGGATCCTCCTACTTTAAATGGTCCAGTGCAAATTGAAGAAATCTTGGATCTGACAGAAAAGATGATAAAGATTTAAATTTTAAATACAGGCACATTTATTATTAGTAAATAGATAAAACTCACTGGCAAATTAAATTCTGGTTATGTTAATATATTCATTTACATTCTAGTTATATCTTTTAGATGTTCCTTAAATGAAGGAATCATGTGATAAAAGTTTAAGTCCAGTTTCACATGTAGGATTGTAGAAGGGGAATAAATTATACCTCAATAATGATAATACTTTTTCACCTTTCACCATGAACAGAATTATACTGAATATAACATGAAAAAGATTTTGTATCCATTTCATTTAATATTAGAGAATTGAGAAAATTATCTAAATAAGTTAGGGTCATAAATTTAAATTTTGCTCCTTTTAACTGAATTCTTCTTACCAAATTATCATCTATTGAATAACTGACATGGTTTCTTAATGTTTTTCTCACTTTTAGGTAGGCTAAAATATGCTGGCCATGAAAATATTATGTTTGTTGTTTACATACCAACATCTTCTAAGGAAGCATAAAGATTTATCTAGCACCTGTTAAGTATGTGACATGAGGTTAAATGTCAACCAATTGTACTTACTTGGAGAAAATATTTAAAGTACTGTTAGAATCAATCAACAGCTGAACAGTCTTAACTGATTAAGTGTAGTTTTTATTTCTAAAGCAGAATCCATAATGAGTAGACTTAGCCAAATATGCAGTTTTTCTTTCCAAAAACATGAAAAGAAATGTAAGTTAAAGGAAGCATTTCCATTGTTTCCAACATTCCCTTTTTCTATTACTTAACTTTCTGTTAAAGTCAGTTTTGGTGTTGTGTGTAATTAGGTAATTATAACATGAAATATAGAGATTATGTTTTGTCAACTATGCCTCTGTCTCACAGCCAACTGCATCATTCTCAATGTTACTTAAGAATTTCAAAATCATTTTGCAGTTACTCTAGCAAAAGAAGCAAGAGGAAACTGATACCAATTCATACTAATAAGCTTGAAGTTCAGTTCATTCCTAAGATGTGTTTTAAGTTTCAACTTCACCAAGTTACTTATTCAAATAAATACAATGTAATTACTTCCTCATAAAACATAATGTTAAACTTCACCTGAAAATATTGAACATATTTGGATCGAGTGGGGTTGGTTGGTTATAGAAAACTCATCAATATGTAGACAAACTGCATTTTAAAACAGCTCTGATATCCTGAGAGCTTCTTTTAAAACTCCCACAAATCCTGGCATACCACAGTGAGCTGGGACTGGTCTCCCAGAGGCAAGTGCCAGCTGCACTACTTAATGCTCAGCCTCCTTTAGCCACCCCATGGAGACTATTGGCAGCCACTTCAGAGGAGAAAAAAATTAACTTGAAAGTATTTTTAACACAACATAACAAGGTTCTGTGAAAAAAAGAAGCCTGTGGGTTGAAAACAGCAGCATTTGTCTTTTACCTTCCTGTGAGTTCCATTCAAAAACACTTTTTCAATATGATCATAATAGGCATCACACCAGTATAATGTGTTGGTGTGAAAGTCCAGAGTTAAACCGTTTGGCCACAGCATATTTGAAGTCACAAAAATCTGCCGATTGAATCCATCCATCCAGGCCTTCTCAATCCTTCCCACGCTGTCATCTATTTCATCTTCCTCCCAGTCTGTCCAGTACATCCAACTAAGACATTTAAAAAATGCATATGGTTATTACAACCAGCCACAGTATAGACATTTCCTCAGATTTGGCACTACCATGAATTCTAGTTACATTCCGATTTCTTCTCCTATTTAAGTGCTTATCTGTCAAAGAAAGAACAGCTGTGAAGTTTTAAGGAAAGTAAAGCTTTGTTTGGTAGAACTGTGCATTTACACTTATTACAGAAAAGCCACTACCACCACTCTCGCGCTTACTGGCTTCATACATTAATGAACCTGACAGTACGTGCCAAATATCTATTTTTTGAGGGTATCGATACCAAGTATATAAAATGATTTTCTGGATCATTACTATTTTAAATGTTGTCTACTTCAAAAAGTATATAATCAATTATGTGATTAAAAACCAGATTAACTGACATGAGAACTCATGGCACAGTTAATGATCTACTCCAGACTTTATTTAATCTCAGATGAATTATTATTTTTTAAGACAGGTAATTGGACTGCCTTTGTTCTAAAGGACACAGTCATACTGGGTTTGTTTGGCCAGGTCTAATTTGTCTTCTTGATGCAAATTATCTATGCTTTATTGCTGCTTATTATTATCCCAAAATCTACAGAAGATGATTTAGCTGCACATAAGTTTAATAATAGCAGGTTGAACGACCTTGAGATTTTGAGCTTTAATTTCTATCTCAAACAAAAGCATCTGCCTTTAAAAACAAATCTTTTGTATAAGCTCTAACAGTAGGATAGGGGCCCTTGAACTAATGTTCCAATTCCCTCATGAATAAGGTTAAAACCCACCACATGTGTTTTTTTAGGGTCATGTGAAAGTTCCTGAGTTTATTAATTAAAGTGTAGGTGTAATCCAGCCATCTCATATACAACTTTATAAGTCTCAAATCTTTTCTAAGCTGCTGACCCTTGAAATACTCTTATTAGATGCCCTGCCTCCCCCATTTCTAGACCCTAAGAATTTCTAAGTGCATTTGGAAAAAGTCTGTCACCATGACGAAAAATCCTACTGCGATCGAAACTGGCAGACTTAGGAAAACTGAGGATGAACAACACTGCCCATTATTTCATACCAATTAAGCTCTTTCTAAATTCTCTTAACGGTTTCCAATTATATTGATATGCCTTTTGAGACCAAAGGAAGTATATTGAGACTGTTGAATTGTGTTAATCCTAGGAATAAACATGGAAATATTTCTATCTTGTATATTGTACTTTCTTAAAGTGATTTTTAAAATTGGGACAACTTGGTAACAAAAAGGATAGTCATTCTATTTGCCCTAATTCTATGTTAGTTATGTGTAAGTACTTGACATCAGCTATATAAATGAACTACACAAAAGTGAAATATGCAATCTTTTTATCTCTATTGATATTTTCCTGAAATTTATATATATATGGTCAATCAATGCAGTTTTATTTTTGTTAAATTATAACTTATTAATATAGTAGTTACCTTCCCTATAGCTTCTCCTTTTGATCATGGCAATGCACTTCTTTTTCTGTGAACCAAACCACACATACATGTGCCTGTGTGCACACACACACACACACACACATGATATAAATCTGGGTATTCTAAGTATACTGCATATTCTTTTACTATTTGAATACAGGAGTTGTTTGTGAACTGATCCATCACCTAAAATTATTTGTATTTAAACAAAACTATCTTTCTAAGTAATGTCAATCTGATAGAGAATATATATATGTATATAAAATCATCTACAAATTTAATAATTTTTGCTTAAATGTGTATTGTGGGCCAGATACCATGGCTCACACCTGTAATTCCAGCACTGTAGGAGGCCAAGGCAGGCAAATTGCTTGAGCCCAGGAGTTTAAGACCAGCCTGAGCAACATGGCGAAACCCCAGCTCTATAAAAATTACAGTAAGTTACTGGGCACGGTGGCTCGTGCCTGTAATTCCAGCTAGCCCCAAAGCTGAAGCCGAGATGGGAGAATCCATCACTTGAGCCCAAGCTATCGAGGCTGCCATGAGCCAAGATTGCACCACTTCACTCCAGACTGGGTGACAGTTAGATCCTGTCTCAAAAAAAAAAAAAAAAAAAAAAAAAAAAGGGGAAAAAAGGGGCCGGGCGCGGTGGCTCACACCTGTAATCCCCGCACTTTGGGAGGCCGAGGCGGGTGGATCACGAGGTTAAGAGATCGAGACCATCCTGGTCAACATGGTGAAACCCCGTCTCTACCAAAAATACAAAAAATTAGCTGGGCATGGTGGTGCATGCCTGTAATCCCAGCTACTCAGGAGGCTGAGGCAGGAGAATTGCCTGAACCCAGGAGGCGGAGGTTGCGGTGAGCTGAGATCACGCCATTGCACTCCAGCCTGGGTAACAATAGCGAAACTCTGTCTCAAAAAAAAAAAAAAAAAAAAAAAAGGATATTATGAAAGCTTTACAATCAATACCAAATGAAGAGAATTCTTAAACACACAGAATAGAAATATAACCTATAAAATAAGCAGGAACTAATACAAACATTTTTTTCTAGATGGGACTCTGGATATTCTTCACATAAAACATAGGCTAATCTGGCCTTCTGTTAATATACCAAGAAAAATTCTACCTTTTATTTCAAGGCCTGTTCAAATGTAATCATCTGATGAAGTCTATCCCCAGCATTTCTGAAGATGAGTCAAAATAAGCTCTTTCCTCTTTTGCTCAGTTACACTAATTTTAAATAATATTTATTGCCTTTATTACCTGTATATAGGGACAGTTGGTAGGAAGACATTACAGGGATGCGAACACTGTCTTACTGAAAAAAAATTTTATTAATCAGAATTGTCTCCAGATAGCTTGAAGTATGTAGATACTATAGGTTTTAAACGTAATATGGATGCCTACACACTTGGGAGATGTTGAAGAGGATTTATAAATTTGAGAAGAGAGATGGAACTAGTGGGCTCTAAATTATATGTTTCTATGACTTCCACATTTATGTCATCTCTTTGGGCACAACAGAGACCCCTTTACTCTATCACAAAACATTTTCTCTAACAGAACAGTGAGAAAGAAGATGCTGTTTTAAGACAGATTTGAAATTTCCTTCTTCAAATAGATTTGAACTGTGTGGAATAAACAATTCTCCTCAAAAACTAACACTGGTTTAACATATGATTATAGAATCCACACATAAAATCACCAAAATTACTTTATAATTATGCGCTATGAAAACAATTACAATGAGTTCACTCACTGCCTAGGAAGAAGCACCTGGTTGTATTTGGAGTTAGTCTCAACACAAACAATTCCAGGAACTGCAATCTGGTGATCTCAGTTTATAAGGGATTCACATGCCTCCTATCCAATACATATTTTTTGTATATGTGCATTAAAGTGTAAAGAATATCTATTTTGTGATGCCTTAAAATAATAATGTGTAAGCCATGGAGGGAAAAACACATCAAAAAACTGTGCATGTAAAATATGCAAGAAAAAGAACATTTTTTAAATTATAAAATACTATTTAAAATTTCCTTCTTCTTTGATATTTCTGTAAATATAGTTTTGTGATCAGGTAACAGCTCTGAATAAAAATCAAAAGAAAACATATTACCAAGAATTGGACAAAATATTCCATTCTAAAACAAGTAATACATATTATAAAATGATGCCCCTATATGGAAATTATGCTGGTATCTAAAATTATGTGATTATCACCCTAGACGAACAAAAAGCAGTGAAGTTTAGTGGCTAAGAGTCAAGTCATAGAGACAGACACCCCGGGAATAAATGTATACCCAGTCTTTCACTAATTGAATGGTGTTTGGCAAGGCAGTTGTCATTTTCACCTTAATAAATTAGGGAGGAGAACAACAACTAATTCAGAGGATTACTGTGAGGGTTACAAAATAGTAGCATAGTAACCCATTTAATAAAATGGCCTTCGGGAAATATATAAAAACTTTTGCATTTTTTGAATACATTAAATTTCAATAGCCTTTACAATATAAAATTGATTGATTTTCTGATTGAATTGATTACTCACCTTGGTGATGGGCTGTTTAAAATATATTATAGTGCTAATTTTGAATAAATCAAGTAATTTATTTGTATGCAGTGATCTATTTCAGGATAATGTATTTGACGTGTTTATTTAGTGCATTCTCTAGGACAAAAAAATCATTAAATCTGTAACTTGACCCACTAACACCATTTGTGTGTAAATTCAGCTATACATATGAATTTAAATAAAACTGACTACTATTAAATATGTAAAAAACAAAGTTATCTATTGTCATTTTTCTTGTATAAAGCTAGTCAAATATTGCATACCCATTAACTGGATCCACCACGATTCCTCTGGGATGAGACATTTCACCCTCTAAAAGAGTCTTCCGACTCTGAGAAGCTTTTTCCAACCTGGCCACATTAATGGTCTTCCTATGGCCATCATTGGTCCAGTAAAGATTATTTCCAATCCAGTCCACAGCAATGCCCTCCACATTATCCAGATCTTAAAAAAAAAAAAGAAAAAGTAAAACAAGAAAGAAGTGGCATTTACAATTAAAGTAAAATTAGTGTTCATAATTAATATTCTACTTAATAAAAACTTTAGTTCAAAAAGTAATGAAGTCGAATCCATAAAATCTTTATGGTATAACTTTTGCAAAAGTTACTATTCTATACATTTCAATTTCAACTTGAATGCCGTTTTATGTGAATAATAGGCCCTCTCTCAGTTGAACACAGTGTTAACAAATTAATCATGGTCATTAACTCAGATTTTAATTGAACCTCAATTTACTGTAATTCAGTGATCTGCAGAAAAACGGGAACATATAAGTGATGGGAGCAAAAAAGCTTAAATATAACTGACAAATTTAGCAACATAGACTGTTCTGAAGAAAAATCTACTCATGCTATGTCAGCATGTTCAAACTTGTAATATGTAATCTGAATAATCAAAATCATATGAATGTCCTCTTGCCCAAGGATGAACAGTTTCAGGAGCTGTAAAAGTATGAAAACCCAGAACAGGCCTTCATTCCAGAATTGCATCAACAGTGAATCTCAAGAGATCATTGAAACACTTCTGTTTATTTTAGACTTATCTTACAAAGAATCCTGTTACAGGATTCTATGAGATACAGGCAATGATAATTCAAATGTTATAAACAAATAATAATCCTACGAGTTCCCCTAATTACAACCCTTCATTTTGTAAGGAGGGAAACTAAAACTTCAAAGTCAAGGCAGTTACTTATAGTCTATTATTATTCACATGCAGTAGTCATTGGACAAAAATGCAAGCCCTATGACCCAAAGTGTGGAGATCTTCAAAACTGCACAATTCCTAGAGTGAGTTTCTGCCACATCTTGCCCTTGCTTTTCATCACTTTGTGAACCACACTTCACCCCACAACATTACAACAATTCCATTCTTCTGTTGCATGCAGAATTGCTGTAAGCTCCTTCTCTTCTCTCAACACCAAAAGCGTCTACATAGTCTTCCTCTTTTCCTTTTTGGCATGTCTTACAGAACTGGAATTTATTGGACACAAGTGATAGGTAGTAGACATTAGAGAGAGAGCTGTATATTTGCACACTACAAGGAAATCTATATCACATTTCCCTGTATACAAACACGGTGAATATTTACTATTATCATGTCATCAGGAAAAAAAGTACAATTTTCTCTTGGAATCCTTATTGCTACTCAACATGTGCCATGATTCAGAATGACTGAAATAAAATGTGGTCTGATCTAACTGAAAATTCCATTACAGTGAATCAGATATGTACTCAATTTCACTAAGCTACCTGCTTCATTACCATCTAGTATGAGTAATTTTCATAGGTTAATTGTCCTATGCTTAGAAAAAGAAGTTTAATTTTGTCTTTACTTATTGACAGTTTTACTGAGCACTTTCTTATTCTGGCATAATGGAACGAGAATAGTTATTTACTCTTTTCTATTTGTCATAGTCTGTGGATGATTTTTATCTTGTTAGTTGGTTTTCAAAAATTGCATTGCATTTGAAATCTGCTCCAGCATAAAATATCTTCATGCTGGATAACCCTCTTATTTTTAAAACTTTTAAAAAATATATATGACTTGAGACTTACTTTTTTCATATGAAGCAGCTATAATATGGTATGAGTGAAATTTTTGTTTCTGACACTTGAGTAAGCAAATTCAGTGACACATTAGGAAAGTGAAGATTATAATAGCACCTGCCCCATAGGGTGATGACGAAGGGCAAACTATTAATAGCTACTGCGTATAAACATTTAACATATTCCCTGGAATACAGTAACTTCTCAATCCATGTGAGTTTTTCTTAATTTAAAAATATTTTATATCTCTTTTGTCTCCTTTCTTTAAGGGTACTATTTGATATGAATATATCCTATGTTTTTTGCCTTTACAATGATTTTTTGGTAATATTTTCTTGTACTTTTACCATTGACTAGCTTTAACTAAAAATAGTATATGAACAAATATATGTTATGTTCTAAAATAATGGTTGGCACATACTAAATAATAAATATTATTATGATGATAATTATTCCTGTAATAGTATCATTATAATTTCTGTATAATCTTTCCTTAAGCCAAGTGTCTAGTCTATTAAAAGGAATTAGCCTAGAGTATTTTTTAATGTTGTTTTCTGTTTGTGGTTTTTTTTTTTTTCTGTTATAGGGAGAATGGTGATGAATACAAATTTTAAAATAAGAAAATGTATAAAAAGATCTATGAGCAAATTGGGAATCTTTTTAGGTCATCTTTAATAGGACAGGGAGGTATTTTTCTCTTGTAGAACAAAGTCTGAACAATCAATTAATCTCTTTCTCAACAAATATACATTGATAAGGGAAGCATTCTGCTTCCACATTATTTGGTGTCTGCTTTAAATCAACTTATAAATTAGTTGAAACAGTAAGACTTAAAGAGCATCAGTCTTACGTATGTTTGATATTTTATTCAAAGGGGTCTGGTTGGGTCCTGCCTGAGACTGACTAATAATGACTCTGTAAACAAAAGTCCGTTAACCAGATCAGGGATATATGAAGGCTGTGGCATTCAAAGGCCAAACAAACATAAGTGACTACAGAGAGTCTAATTATTAGCTTGAGGAAACACCTGATATTAAAATGCAAGGAAGATGTTTGATAAAGAAAAACTTGGTAGAGTACATTGCTTTCTATGGTTTGGGTTACAGTTACTTGGTAGAGTACATTGCTTTCTATAGTTTGGATTACAGTTCAAGTATTCTACATTCTAAAATTTATATTTGCTACTACTAATTATTATTATTTTTGCATAACTAATAGCAAAGAGCATGACTATTTAAAAAATATGTTTAAAATCTCCCTTAGCTTTCACAAAATACCCATTTTCATTCATCAATAGGCAAGAAGTCAACATGTTTATATTTCTTTTAAAAAAAGGAAAAAATTCAGTAATTATTTCTTGTAAAGTTTGTTTAAATTAATATTATGTCTATATTTTTCATGCTAAGTGAAGATACTGCATTTACTCATACTCAGAATATAGCCTTTTCATGCATTCTGAAAAAATATTATTTTTCTCAAAATATTAAAATTTCTACAACATGCTATCCTTGTATACATTGTTCTAGTAATTTCAAAATGACTTGTATAAATGGAATAATATATGAATAACACATTGAAAACACACTCACGTCTCCTTCAAATTTAGGGTTGGTAATGAATTGCATGGTTCGCTTAAGTAAAAAACTCATGACGTTAACAATACTATTTCCTATAAGAGATAAATACCACTAAGGAAATGACGCTGAATAATATATAATAAAATTTATGAAAATTTTGAAAAAAATAATGATGTGGATTTAAAAAGAATAAATAGAACAATTCTTCAAATGAATGTAATACTTTGGACTAGATCAAATAAACATTTTTAAAGAGTGGTTTTCAGAGAAAAGCATATTTCTAAAATGAAAACTTCATTACAAGTCTGATTTTTAGATATTACACCTTCATGGAAAAGAAGACTACAGTTTTATATATTTAAAATATCATTGCCTACTTTTAAAATGGTTCCATATTTTTAAAAGAAAGGATGTGAGCAGTGGCCTTAGTTTTGTTATGGCACATAAGCTGGACCTCCAAAATGATCCATAGATCTTGATGCTTTACAACAGAATTTGATGCATATAATAAGAAACTAATTAAAAATTATACCCCAAATGGCCATTATAAATTCATAGTTTCTACATTCTTCTACCTTATAAAAGTTTATCCAGGGTTATCTATCCTTAGCATGAACATTATTTTTCTGAGTTGGAACAAAAGTGTTTACATGAGTATAGAATATGGTAAAGTGCCTTAAATAATTAAATTTGCATCATGCATGTAGACATTCCTAAGGCCAGGGATACCTTACCTCACCCTAGTGTCAGCACTCAGACAACCCTCCTGTGTCCTATCCTTGTAGTTCAATTAACACAAATTCTTTTTGTGCATTTCAATATGGCCTGAGGCCATACATAGCTCATATGTATCTGACATGAGTGAATGACACTAATTTAATTAATAGTGTAGCAATAAAATTTTCTTGCTGAATATGCTGTCTCATGGGGTTTCAAGGGTCTCTGGTCACAAACTAAAGATACCATCTGTTCTTAATGGCCACCTGAGGCTGATATTTCTCATCCTCATTTTCATTCCAGATTTCTCCTTAGTCGTTAGGTCATGGAGGGTGAATACACAAGCCATTCTCACTCAGAACAAAATACCTTGATGTTGTATTCAAAGAGATCTGTAGAGTGCATATAAGGGTCTTATTTTCCAGAATAAACAGCATATATTAAAACGTAGTGGTTTCCTTCCATTAGCCAAAGCATACTGTCAGTTTCAGTGGATCAGGGGATCATCAATCTATGGCATTCAGATAGTTTATCTTTGATATGATGAACACATGGACAAGTAAAGATAGTGCCATAGTATGCATCATAGTTACCAATAATCTAAATTGATAATTAAAATAAAACATCAAGAATGGTTAAGGACTGGGATTTTATCATACTTTCAAGCTTGTAAGTTTGCCCGTTTTTGTTCCATGAATTCTAATAGGAGACAGAAGACTTGTGGGTCAGATATAAAGGATTTTATTACTCATGGAAGAACAAGAAGCATGGTCATCAGCAGATTGGTGTCAGTTCCCTTTACTTCAAGTCCCCAGGATCAACTGGGAGGGGGTCCATATGAATGCTTTCATACACTGTGGATGGTATGACAGATGAAGAATCCCAAGTTTAGAAAATCCAAACTTATTATAATGGGGAGTAAGAAGGCCTGCCGTTTTCACTGGCCGGTGACTCTATCTCCTTTTGTCAATACTCTTTGCTATGCAAGCATCCTTGAAAAGATGCTTCAGAGGAGAAGACAGTATATGTCTTACTTTAAGATATGGAAAAATGTGAGAGATTCATGGAGAATTGTCTCCCAATAAGAGGTCCTGAAAAGTCA